GTCTTGATAAAATTCAAAGAATCTGCAATGCTATAAGTCCTTACCTGGCATATCAGCTTCAATCACTTTTACATTGCCATAACATAGCTTCCTTGTTCATTTTTTAGATATATTTTCAAGGTAATTGTTGCTATGAGCTTTATTTTTTGTACCTCATCTTCATAAAATTAAGGACAGTACTAGATTGGCAGTTAGGTCTCATCATTTTGAGATAGCTAGATATAACTGTAAGTTCTATGCTAGTAGTTTCTTCCTTCACACTTCTCACTTGTGAAACTCTTTTGTCGCTTCTTGCTTTCCTGTCTTCTCTGATCTTCAAAAATTTAAATGCAGTATCAATCATCATCTTCTGTTTCCTTGAATCCTATTCTTTTGTTGTTCTCTCTTCTTAATAATGATTTTTCTCAGATTCTTTCACTTTTAGTGACCCTCTTGAATCTTAGTGGCTTTATCACCTTGCTTGAAAAAAATTAAAAATATATTTGATAGATATAAATATAATAGTATGTCTTGTATATTAGAATGAATCCGTAAGAAAATATACATCTTCTAAGCATCCATACTTTTCAATAGGTTAATAATCAACAACGCTCTTTTCCATGGACATAAAATGGGGTATCAATTTTGTTGTTAGAAAAGCAACACACTGATCCCTCACTTTATGTTTCTTTAGGGAATGCAGAAGCTGTTGGGAACTGTTCTTGGTTAATATTTGTGAAATGAAGCCATGTCTTCATTCACAACATTAATCAGACTACGAGTCTCATCATTGTTTGGGTGTGGTCAACACAATCATCTGAAAATCATCATTGCGTTGTGTATCTGAGTTGCCGCAATCAGGAATTATTTTCTTTTTTTTTTTTCCTTTTTTTATTTGAGGGCTGTGGACAGTTGGTTGGGTGGCCCATGCTGTTGGTTTGAACAGGGAAAAGAGACAAACATAATGTTGATAAAGTTAACTGCCTGGAAGGTCCCAAGGTTAGAAAAAGATTTTAGACTAGTGAGGAATAATAATGGATAGAAGAGAATGAACACTGGACACACATTCAATAATAAATATATGTAGACTTACATTATATATAGATAAATATACCAGCACGATTTCTTTGTATATGACTGTCTATCAATCTTTCTCTCTATATATAATATTTACTTGTATGGATATGAGTTTGTGACCCTGGGTCTCCTGCTTTTGCAATCATCATATATGTATGATATATAACATTAATAGGAGTAAAAGTTTGTCACTTAGCTGATTGATGTTACCTTCAGCATCCTGACTCCAGAGTTTTATAGGCAGACATGTCCATCCACTCTTCAGTGGGTATTAGCAATTTACTCCGACTCCCGAATTTTCTCTTCTATGGGTATCAGCAATTTACTGCTTATATTTTTTTTTTTTTTTTTCCTTTCTATTCATTTATCATTGGTGTGAGTTTTTTCCATATTTTTTATGTTCATGTGTGTGTTTGTGCCTGTGCACAATATATATATATAAAAAGGTAAAAATCCACGTGGATCCTAATAATATAAAATATTAAAACTAATCCACAAAGAGAGCTCAATGTATTTATTACAGAGCATATATAAATAAAGTACAAATGAATGAAATTCAAAGATACCCTATTTGAATAGGTATTTCTTTCTGCAAGAATTGACCTTGCAAGGTTTGTCAACATGAAGGGGTTTGGAGACAAAAAGGTTATATATATATATATATATATATATATATATATATATATAAGGTATGTTTAGGCAGCAAGTATTCATGCAAACAAGTTTGATTGCCACAAAGACACCATATTGGTTCTTGAAAATGACTGAGATGGTCAAACGAGTTTGAATAACACAATAGGAACTTTGGACAGTTTATCTACAATTTTGACCACAATATTCAAACACTGATTTGAAAATTGTAAAAGTACAATAAAAAAATTAAGCAGGCAGACCTCATCTGTTATTTTTAATCAAACTCGTTTGGTTGATTTATTGATTTATATTTTACAGGTTATTTAAACCCTTAAATATTTTTTTAGATTGTAATACTTTGGGGGAGATAATGATTTACTGATACAATCCCTATTAATTAACCTAGAGAAAGAGGTGGATTTCTACCTTTACCAAGGATAGTTGTGCATTATTCAATATAAAGAACCCTACTGGAATTGGAACACAGCACTCTGATTTCCAATTTTGAGCCATGATCCATTACACCATCTGCACATCCAAGTTTACAGCAGCTGGTATTCCAAAACAGTTATAGCTACTGACCAGGCTCAACCATTGATCTTGGAAGAACTGATGTTTCAACATGATATGGCTGTAAGTTCAAACTTGTTTGGATATATAGATATATATATTTCAGTAAATATACAAAGTAAACAAATCCTAAGGGAGTCTGCTACGAAGTCATATTGGAGAAAAGGAGCTTGGTGCTATAGTTAATGTCAGAGCATTAATATAATTTGCCGACTGAAACTGAAAACTCATGGTTCCTTATTGACCCCCTGTGTCTACCTTTTTTAGTTTTGGGAGTAATTAAAGAGCCATGACTAAAATAAATTTATTACTAAAAAAAAAAAACAAACATTACTGATTTGTATGTTTTTTTTGTTTTTTTTTTAAATTTATATTACTCTTTCTGAAGAAGTGTTGGATGAAAAAGTTCCTTTTAAAAGAATACGTTTTGCCATTTTAGAAACCATATATATAATTATATTTAGGCTCTACTTTTGTATTGAGCACTGTTTTTAAAAAATAATAACAAAAATACTAAAGAACATTGGATTATTTACCTAACGAGTTCTTTCTTATTTTCTATATATTTTCACACACACACACACACACATATATATATATATTCAGTAAATCAAAATAATTTGAGTGACTTACCTGGTTAGCTGACTGAAGTGTATCAAGATGCTCATCAGGACCAGATGTCTGATAATGAGATACCTTTATTAATTTATTTAAATTGGTTTAGTTATAGTATTTACATTAGTCGGACTATTGTCCTCATCTTTGTCATATGTATTTGTCTAGCGTTTGACCGTTGTGACAAATAAATAAAGATGAGGACAATAGTCCGACTAATGTAAATACTGTACATAATACCTCATCTCAGAAATATAGACAATCTCTGGTTTAGTTATTTACTGAGTTTTTGCTAGCCTGTAAAAACATGTGAAATTCTTGCAATTTTCGCATATTTTGTAAGTTTTTATATATATATATATATATATATATATATATATATATACATATACACACACACACACCATATAAAAAGATGAACTTTACATGACTTCATAGATTCTCTTGTGATTGCCAGTTTTATGTGCAAACACAATCATACAGGGGAAAGGAATGGTTTTAATTCAGGAAAAAATATTCTGTTCCTTTCCATCAGCTGAAGATTTTTTTCTTTTTATTATTATTATTATTATTATTTTTATTATTATTATTTTTAGTAGTATTATTTTTATTTTTATTATTATTATTTTTAGTATTATTATTATTATTATTATTTTTATTATTATTATTATTATTATTATATATGCAATTTTTTATCACTATACTAAACTGTCTGATATATTTTTCTTCCACCTTTCCTTAAAGACAACACAGAATAGTTTATTATTTGTTTGAGGTAATAGGAGAGCATAACACACACTAACTTACTAACAAAGGAACAATCAAAATTATAACATATATATATATATATATATATATATATATATATATAGGCCACAAAACTGGATTTTTAGTAAGATTCATGCCTTGTTTGGTTTAATAAATTCCTACTAAACTAGGAAGCTGAAAGTAACATGTTAATGCATGACTTCTAATTTTTTTAGAGAGCAAAGTAAGAATTAGTTATCAAGGTGGGTTTGATAAAAAGGGTAAAATTTTAAGAAAACTTTATGCAGTAATGGATTAATTCCATTATTATTATACTATATATGATAAAACCCTTCAAGATAAATCCCCCTGGGATGAAGTGAGTTAGTAAATTAATTTTGAAAAAGGTTGGCAACTTCCAGTTTTTAGGTGATTCTTAGAAATCCAGAAGGTGGCACAAAACTTTGGCATTGTGTGTGTATATATATATATATATTATTATATATATTATGTAAAATAAAGCATAATATTTTTTTCTAAATAAATCCACATTACAACCAAAAACGTTTATGGCACCTCTCTTCTCTTCTTTTTAATATACATACTTTTCTCTCGTTGGAACCACTACAACATATTTCTTTTATATATATATTTATATATATATATATATATATATATATATATATATATATATATATATATATATATATATTCTATGTACTTGTTCATTCAGATATTTGTAACACTTTGTTAAGACTTGATCCTGCCCTCAGTCAAGGAGCTTCCAATGAGGATTGAACCCACTAGCTACCATGATCTATTGCTTAAAGGCAGGCACCTCATACATGTGCATTAAGAAATTAGTACAATTTTTTTTATCATGCCTCAAAACACAAATATCTAACGCATGCATTTGCATATTTTCAATTCTATAGCCACTTACTAGAATACATCAAATCTGCACACATATGCATTTGGATATTATAGTTTGAGATCGACAGTGTGTGCCTACATGGTCACACACACACACACACTGCAAGGCCATCTCTGTACATTTGTATGTTCATGCGTACAGACCCCCACACACACATTTGTATGTGCCCAAATCTTTCTCTTATCCAAGTATAAATAATTAAAAGAAACCTCTCTTACAATTGTTCCTCATTTGGGGAAGATGCAGCCAACAGATTTTGTATGTTGTAAGCCAAACACGACAAGAAACAACAACAACAAAAAAAAGAGAAAACTAAACTAGAAATTGATTATTTAAAAACAACAATAAATAATAACATAAACAACAAAAACAACAATGTTGATACTGTCCAGCCCTGATGGTGGTGGTGGTCGTGGTAGTGGTGCCCCCTGTCATTTCCATTAAGGTACTACGTTTCCCTCATCTTCAACCTCTTCCCGACCACCAATTTTCCCCTTTTTTTTTTCTTCTTCTTTTTCCCCACTTTCTATACCCCATTTTTACCCTCCCCTAACTATCAATCGCTGTTATTAAACAAGGCACACTGTTCCTATCTTCATCTTCCCAATTTTCCTGAACCTTCCTTTTTCTGTCAGACACCACCCCCTGGGGGTTATTTTTAGTATCTGCATCTCGTCGCCCATTCTAACACTACTCTGGCCTGCGCACTCTGCATTCCTGCCCTTTCTGTAGTTTATGGCTGTCTGTGCATCTCCCCCAGTGTCACCCCTTCAACCCCACTGCAGTGGACACCCCCACAACTGTAATCTGGTTTTCACTCTTCCTCATACATGGAAATAATTTGCACAACTCTAACTTTTGTTTTTTTTTTTCTTTATCATTAATTTCTCTTTTGTCTATCGATCTCTTTCTGTCTATATCTGTCTGTAAACTTATATACATGTCATCTGTTCATTTCTATCTCTCTTTATATATGTCTCATTCTATTTTTCTTAATCTGTTTTTACATACACATCTTGGTCTCTTCTTGTTCATCAATTTATCTGCCGAGATATATCTTTCCATCAGTCTATTTCAAATTTTCAGGATTCATTCAAATTTAGCCATATAGCTATATTCTCTACTTCTACTTCTTATGGATGGGAGTTGCATTAAAAAGCAAGAGAAATGAAGATGAAAGATATACTAGTGAAAAATGAATAATAATTGACAATGCTTCATCTAAGAAGGCTAACCAGCAGGAGTCATTCAAATTTAGCCATATAGCTATATTCTCTACTTCTTATGAATGGGAGTTGCAATAAAAAGCAAGAGAAATGAAGATGAAAGAAATACTAGTGAAAAATGAATAATAATTGACAATGCTTCATCTAAGAAGGCTAACCAGCAGGAGTCATTCAAATTTAGCCATATAGCTATATTCTCTACTTCTACTTCTTATGGATGGGAGTTGCAATAAAAAGCAAGAGAAATGAAGATGAAAGAAATACTAATGAAAAATGAATAATAATTGACAATGCTTCATCTTAGAAGGCTAACCAGCAGGAGTCATTCAAATTTAGCCATATAGCTATATTCTCTACTTCTACTTCTTATGGATGGGAGTTGCAATAAAAAGCAAGAGAAATGAAGATGAAAGAAATACTAGTGAAAAATGAATAATAATTGACAATGCTTCATCTAAGAAGGCTAATCAGCAGGAGTCATTCATATTTAGCCATATAGCTATATTCTCTACTTCTACTTCTTACGGATAGAATTGCAATAAAAAAAGCAAGAAAATGAAGATGAAAGAAATACTAGTGAAAAATGAATACTAATTGACAATGCTTCATCTTAAGAAGGCTAACCAGCAGGAGTCATTCAAATTTAGCCATATAGCTATATTCTCTACTTCTACTTCTTATGGATGGCAGTTGCAATAAAAAGCAAGAGAAATGAAGATGAAAGAAATACTAGTGAAAAATGAATAATAATTGACAATGCTTCATCTAAGAAGGCTAACCAGCAGGAGTCATTCAAATTTAGCCATATAGCTATATTCTCTATTCTACTTCTTAATAGGAATTGCAATAAAAAAAGCAAGAGAAATGAAGATGAAAAGAAATACTAGTGAAAAATGAATAATAATTGACAATGCTTCATCTAAGAAGGCTAACCAGCAGGAGTCATTCAAATTTAGCAATAAAAACTTCAATAGGAATTGCAATAAAAAGCAAGAGAAATGAAGATGAAAGAAATACTAGTGAAAAATGAATACTAATTGACAATGCTTCATCTAAGAAGGCTAACCAGCAGGAGTCATTCAAATTTAGCCATATAGCTATATTCTCTACTTCTACTTCTTATGGATGGCAGTTGCAATAAAAGCAAGAGAAATGAAGATGAAAGAAATACTAATGAAAAAATGAATAATAATTGACAATGCTTCATCTAAGAAGGCTAACCAGCAGGAGTCATTCAAATTTAGCCATATAATATTCTCTACTTCTACTTCTTATGGATGCAATAAAAAGCAAGAAAAGGAAGATGAAAGAAATACTAGTGAAAAATGAATAATAATTGAAATGCTTCATCTAAGAAGGCTAACCAGAAATTCAAATTTAGCCATATAGCTATATTCTCTACTTCTACTTCTTATGGATGGCAGTTGCAATGCAAGAGAAATGAAGATGAAAGAAATACTAGTGAAAATGAATAATAATTGACAATGCTTCATCTAAGAAGGCTAACCAGCAGGAGTCATTCAAATTTAGCCATATAGCTATATTCTCTACTTCTACTTCTTATGGATGGGAGTTGCAATAAAAAGCAAGAGAAAGGAAGATGAAAGAAATACTAGTGAAAAATGAATAATAATTGACAATGTTTCATCTAAGAAGGCTAACCAGCAGGAGTCATTCAAATTTAGCCATATAGCTATATTCTCTACTTCTACTTCTTATGGATGGCAGTTGCAATAAAAAGCAAGAGAAATGAAGATGAAAAGAAATACTAGTGAAAAATGAATAATAATTGACAATGCTTCATCTAAGAAGGCTTACCAGCAGGAGTATTTTTCTAATTTTCCTAGGAATTTAAAAAGCAAGAGAAATGAAGATGAAAGAAATATTAGTCAAACATGAATAATAATTAGTAATGTTATATTTTTGAATTTTTCCTGTTTTGTAATTTGTTGTCTTAAGTACTTTTCTTCTTTTCCCTTTAGATATGGTTTCAGTCCAACCAGACCTGACACAGACAGTCGTGACAGTACGTACTGCCAGTGTTGACTCCCCAAACAACAATGTTGAAACACCAGTAGATAAAACAGCCGTGATGACCAACAAATCTCAGCAACTAGCCCAGACACTGACCAAAAGCAACAGCAAACTGCCCGATCCACCTTTGAACAGCTCCATTGAGAAACTCACCATTAAAAGCAATAAAAATGCCATGACAATGAGTACAAGCATGAGTAGCTCTCGACCGACATCAAACGGAGACATGCAATCTTCAAATCGCCTTTCCCTCATGTCTGGTCTCTTGCCATGTAACATCGACATTGAGGCCGTAACGTGGGGTACCTTCACACATACAGGTGGTCGTCTGTGTCTGACTGAATCAGGTAAGTCACTTTCCTTCTTTTTTCCCAGTGAACAATTTTACATTGTCAATAGTAAATACTAAGTTTGTTTTTTTTTTTATAGAATTGATTGCTACTATTTTAGAGCCTGAGTTTAGGGTCTCATGAAGGATTGTTGTTTAAAATATAAAATTGATTTTCAGGAAATAGACTTTTCAAATCCAGTTTTATCACTTTCTAAGACTGATGGATGTTGCCAACCAAACCTTTTGTTCTTGGTTGTGTAGAAAACTATCATCTTCATTATATCAATATTTTCCCATTTGATAATGTAAAGTTCTTTGAGTGGGATTTTGTAGCATGAATCTCTCAGGTCCAATGAAGGATTGTTATTTAAAATTTAGAACTATTTTTGTTTTTAATTTATAAACAATATTGCATAATTTTATGAACATGGTAAGAAAATTATCTGTTTCTATACAGAGTTAGTGTTACTGCTGGCTGAAATTCATAAAAGTCCTTTACTTAGAAGTGCTTTTTCAAGAAATAGCCTTTTGAAATCTGTTGTAACCTAGGGAAGGTTACTGAATAGAATAATCACATGAAGGTTGGCAATGAACGATAACACTTAGGACAAAAACAACATACATATAAGATTCACTAGCAAGTGCATAGAAGAAGTAGTCAACTGCTAGAAGTGAATCAAGTGAATTCCACAATGAATCTCCAACTCTAAACCAACATACAGTATTTACTATTGCATTTATGTGAATAGGGACATACCCATTATTGTCTGTAGGTATGTAACAAAATCCTTTATTTAAAAGTGCTTTTTCAAGAAATAGCCTTTTCAATTCCACTGGCACCAGTTTATAGGGTCTGATGATGGAATTTTACTAAATGTATGGAATTGATTTTCAATACACAGATTCATATATTGCAGTGTGTGTGTGTGTATATATATATATATATATATATATATATATATATATATATATATTCTAATTCATATCTACATGCACATATGCATGGGATTTATCTTTCTTGTGAAATTAATTTTTTTTACTTATGACATTGAAAGAATCATATATTGCCTGAAACAAGATTCTAAACTGAATGTCAAAAATGTCAAGTTTTGCAGGAATCTTTTCCCAGAGGCCAACCTGCACTTATGAAGAATTTCTAAGTGCATCTTTGCCTATTCTACTAATGCCACAAGTGGTCTTTCTTTGACTATTTTCTTTGATAGGAAATGGAACCAAATGAATTCTGTCAGTTTATTTTTATTTTCTCATGTAAATTAGTTCTAGTCTTTTGTTACATTTCTCCTTTATGTTTTGTTTTCTATAAATTTTTTCTCGTCCAATTGATTCAAAACTAGAAATAAACATCTTTATGCCAAAGGCTAATGTTGTGTAATGAAATGTATTCCTGATCCTTGAATCTGAAGGAAGCCTTGCTTAATATTCACAAGGGATGTAGTACTTTGAAATAACTTTCAGAAAGTGGATTTGTATTTCTTTGCAAAAAAAAAAAAAAGGAAATATTTCTTTAAAATTTGATTAAATCTGCATTACAAATATTTCCTGTTTGGCTTCACAAAGAAAATATTTCAAGAAAAAATTTTTTTAATAACAGAACCTTTACTTATTGCTTGTACTAACTTAAGGCAATGAGACTGCATCAGTATTTTGTAAGAAATTTCAAACTTGTCTGTCAGTTCTATTTCCAGGAAAATCAGGGATAGGAATTTGTGTTTTCTGATTCCATTTTTGGAGGCACGGTGAAGTAATGGTTAGCAACTCAGATTGAGAAGTACAAGAGCCATATTCAAATTCCAGTTGAGTTAGTTACATTCACTTACATGAAAACAAACTTGGGAAAGGTATAAATCCATCTCTACTCCCAATTATGGATAAAAGGCAGAACAAACTAGATCCTATAGCCTTGGTTGGCACCTGGCCCAAAAACACACCACAGCTACCACAATGACTATAATGAGTTATGGGACTTTCCATTTTTGTTTTCTTGTTTTAGCAAAAAAAAAAAAATCAAACAAGTTGTTTCCTTTGGGTAAGGTTTCAATAATAGTAATTATATTAATCAAATTATAATTAAAATTAACTGAACCCATTTGTTATATACTGTACCTATGATCTCTAATGGGTATGTCCCAATCCTCATAAATACGTTGGTCACTATTGTAAGTGGGGGTGATATGCTGTCTAAATAGTCCACCACTAGCAATGGTTTACCTACTTCATGCCACTGGCAAGTATTATATTTTGTGGATGTTATAAAGATTACCATTTCATTTCCAACCTTTATTTTGGTTCTTCCCCATTCAGTAACCCTTTCTAAGTTACGACACTAACATAGATGACATTATATAAAGATTCCAATATAGCAGCAAATCTTTTAATAAATTTAGTTTTATTACCAAAAGTAAATCAATGATAATCTTATTAATCTATTTGTAATAGTAAAATCTTTGATAAACATTTTGATGGCATTCTAGTAAATTATCATGGCATTCTAGTAACAAGAAAAAGTCAACATCGTATATGCTGTTACAGTAATGTGCATAGAGAGATTCATTTCAGGTATTTGTAGGGGAAAAGAAACTACACAACTGAGATCAGATTAATTGATGAATAGATTGAAACAAGTAAAAGGAGTGGGTGATAAAAAATGAGAGAGAAACGCTAGGCCCACAAAAACACCAGGAAGCAAGACAAATTATGAAATAATACTGTTATATACTGTACCTATGAACACAGATATGTCCTAATCCTCATAAATATGCTGGACACTACTGTAAATGGAGGTAATATGCTGTCTAAGTAGTCCAACACTAGCAGTGGTTTACCTACTTCACGCCGCTGGCGAGTATTGTATTTTGTTGATGTTATAAAGATTTACATTTCATTTCCAACCTCCATTTTGATTATTCCTCATTCAGTAACACTTTCTAGGTTACAACACCATTAAAATCATTGATAACTAAGAATACTTTATCTCGTTATTTTCTTCATTTATTATTTGTCAGTATCTTCTCATTATCTCCTGTATTCTTTGGAACACTTATTGCGCATCCATGTTTTAATATAAACATGAATTTCTTTCACATGTGATATAGGAATAAGGAAAACACAGATGTTGCATTCAGCCTTTCTTATTGCAACCCATTAAAAATCCTTACAAAGAATGCAATATTTTTATGATTTTTCCCTATCTACCTTTCAATATTTTATTCATTTCTCTTGATATCCAGCTATCAAGCTTGCCTCTATCGCCTTCCTCCTCCCTCTTCCTCTCTCTCTCTCTCTCTATATATATATATATATATATATATATATATATATATATTTCGATAAACGTGCAATCAATTTACAAATTCATGAATTATTCACACAAAAACAAATGCAAAGGTTAATGATTTAATTAGCGAGAAATCCATAAATACAAAACAATTCAAATAATATACAAAAACCTCCGAATCCGTTATGAATGAAAAGATCCTTGTTTCTATAAATTTCTGCCGCATTAGTTCTTATTTTTTACTACAAGTTTTCGTCTGTTCCTACAGACATCTTCAGGTATGGAATAGATGTTGTTCTTGTTTGTAGAAACAAGGATCTTTTCATTCATAACGGATTCGGAGGTTTTTGTATATTATTTGAATTGTTTACGACGATGGATTTTCGCCAATTAAATCATTAACCTTTTGCATTTGTTTTTTGTGTGAATAATTCATGAATATATATATATATATATATATATATATATATATATATATATATATCCACAGAGAGACTGTTTTGCTGTTTCACAGCTCATCAATGTGGCTGGTCATCCAATTGCCTCAAGCCGGGATTGAAACCCGACTGATTTGGTATCAGTCGGAGATTTTACCCCAAGGATGAAGGTGAATTTAGATGTATTTATTTTTAGACAAATACACCCATGACTGGAGAACTTGATTTGTCTTAACAAAGAGTCTTGCATCAGCAGCAGTAATAGTCACTGTTTACAAATTCACTTTTCTCCCTGAAGAGCTCAACTGAAATAATTTTTTCAGGAGCATGTATGTATATATATTCATCCACAGACAGGCTTTTTCGCTGTTTCACAGCTCATCAGTGTGGCTAGACATCTGACTGCCTCAAGCTGTGATCGAAACCCAGCTGATTTGGTATCAGTCAGAGATTTTACCCCTAAGCCATTGGCACACAACAGAGATGAATGTGAATTTAGACGTATTTATTTTTAGACAAACACACCAGTGACCAAAGAACTCAATTCGTCTTAACAAAGAATTTTCCCCCTTTTCTTTTCATTTTTCCCTAGCTTTCTTGCTTGCCACCTTTCCTCTTTCACGCCCCAATTTTTTTTTACTTTACCTCACTTTTCATAATTCATTCACACTTAATAATATTATTTACATTTCTCAATCAGCCTAATTCCAGCTCAGAAGTGGCAAGGGATTCAACACATACTACACTTTGATCCTTAGTAGAAAAACACACAACAGTTTTATATACTAACAAATATAATAATATTAATAATAGTATAAATATTTATAATATATTAAAAAGCTTTGTATGGGAAACAAGCTCTGATATATATATATATATATATATATATATATATTTTTTTTTTTTCTTTCAATTTGCAGGTGTAAGCCTGACAATTCCTGAAGGTGCCATTCGGAAAGGACAAAATGAAGATGTCTTCCTTGCAGTATGCCGAGATGACAAAGACAGACCTAAATTAACAGGTGAGATAAATAGTAAGATAATCGAAAGAGAAATGCTTGTATCTATCTTGGCAAAAGACAACCTGAAACTGAGAAATGGATTTTGAAAGATACCTGATATTTGACGAACAGTGTATTATGGGGATCAGAGTACCTGAGAAAGATTTTATAAGAGGATACAAACTTTCTTTCAATTCCCTTCTCTCTGTGGGCATGTGGGCAAGGAGCTAGAATGTTAGTATTCCAACCAAAAGAATGGGGTTGGAATCTTGCCATGGTCAATTGTTCAAAAGATGACGTTTTGATTTTTATCAGCCTGGGGAGACAATACCAACATGTGAGGATCTATAAGAAAATGTCTGTAATTTATACGACAGGTTGACCCAAGCATTGTGAATTGGCTAAATAGAACTGTTTAGAATCCTTTGATGGTTGTGCTTGCACAAAGTCACAAGTCATCGTGACTGAGGATTTGAGTATACTGGCATAGTTCAAGCAGACAGGTGTGCTTAAATAATTAGTAGGTATGCTATATTTGTGGTTAAAAGTGCTCAATATCAGGGATTGTATGTATCACACTTTGAGAGCTGGTGTCTATAATAAAGTTGCTTGATGTAGAATAACAGATCTATACATTATAGACTAATATAAATGTACATTTAGAAGTTTCATGCAAAACGCAATATTCAAATGCTGGACCATTACATAATTTAAATTTATATATATATATATATATATATATATATATATATATATATATGAAGAAATATAGTCTTAAGATGTGCTATATTTATGGGATAAAGTGCTCAATATCAGAGATAGAGTGTATGGAAATATAAAAGTGAACATAGAAGTCAACACTTAGAGACGACAGTCTGTTTCATGTTATATGCAATTGTCAGGCCACGAATGCTGGAACAGCATTTATATATATTGTCATCCAGAGAGAGACTGTTTCACAGCTCTTCAGTGTGGCTTGACATCCAAGCTTCAAGCTGGGATTGTAACCCAACCAAGTTGACATCAGTCAGAGATCCTACCCCTAGGCTATCTTTAACATTTTTATATATATATATATATATATATATAATGTCTGGTTAAATAAATTACAAACGTTATGTCTGGTTTTATTAAAGAGACAGAAATTACTTGGGAAATAAAAGTGATTTTGTCTGTTGCAGTGCATTTCTTGCATCATTTGATTTTAACACACAGAAAAATATCCATGCATATGAATGGATTATGCTAAAAATAAGCAGACATAATGTTTGTAATTTATTTCTACTTCAACTTCTTTCGTGCCTAAAAGAGAATTTGCTACCTAAATACACACACACACATGTGTGTGTGTGTGTATATATATATATATAGTCATCCACAGACAGACTATTTCACAGCTCTTCAGTGTGGCTAGATGTTCGATTGCTTCAAGTCAGGATGGAAACTTGACCAATTTGACATCAGTCAGATATCCTACTACTACACCATCATTGCACAGCAGAGAAGAAGGCAAATTTTAATGTTTTTTCTATACAAAATATGCCAGCAGCCTGGAGAATTCAATTCGTATTTGAAGAGTAATGCATTAATAGCAGTAGGAGCTATTGTTTCTAAAATCTACTTTCTCTCTCGAGAGAGAGCTCAATGTACTCATATGTAAATGAGTTATGAGTTAAGACTTATTTTAGTATCACTACAAATTTTACACATGGTGAATTCAAAATTCTGGAAATTGCCAATAACTTGACAAAATTCATGCCATTGAGTATTAATTTTTCTCATATATTTCTCTTCAATCATCAGAGTCTAATTTCGAAATTTACTCTTTTTTTCCTTTCAGACAAACAAACTATTCTCAGCCCTGTAATACTGTGCGGACCTGCATCAGTCATGTTGAAGAAACCTGTTGTGATATCATTTCAACATTGTGCTAATATGAGGCAAGGTGCTTGGATACTGTCCGTCTATAATTGCGATACACCAATTGAGGAAGCTTCTTATTGGACAGTAAGTCACTACATCTTTTCCGGGTTTTTTAAATTTTGTTCTGATTTACAGATTGGTTCCAGGGTTATGGTCACATCATGTTGAAACACAGGTTCCTGTACAATCACCAAAGTTAAGCAACATTAAGGCTGGTCAGTACCTAAATGCATGACCACTGGGAAATCGCAGATGCTGTAAGTTTGGATGTATGGCCGGTGTAATGGATAATGGCTTGGAATTGTTAAAGAGTCATGTTCCAGTTCTCATTGGGTTCATTTTATTCACTTACATACAAATACCTCTGGGAAAGTCATGAACCCACCTCTAACCCACGTTTATTGCAGTAGATCGGTTCCAAGACCGGCCGCGATAACTGAATTTCCGCAAAGTAGGGACGCCATATTTACAGTATTTATTTAACGTGTATTTGGACTTTTAAAACCCTCCCTGTACTGTTAACAACCCACCCATTACAGTGCTCTATTAATAACAAGGACAACTGTTAAGCAATAACACTTTAGAATTAAAAAAAAAAAAAAAAAGATTGTTACTGTATTCAACATGAAAGAAGTTGAAGTAGAATTTGAATGACGACGATGATGATGATGAATTTGCTGCGCAGTAGAAATGATGATGATGAAGCTGATGATGACTTCTACTGTGCAGCCGATAATTGTATTTTATGTCTCTTCAGACGGCAGTGCCCTTTCTATTGCTATTTTACGCTTGTTTTGTTGTTCCTAGACCAGGAAATAATATTTATTATTAATATTTTAATAAGTTTAATGGAAAATTTTAGGCGTTCATATATCCCGATTTTTCTAGAATTTTCCAGAAACTTCTCAATATATTTTCCATATATATATTTTAAAAATCCGTGAAGTCGTGAATCCGCAATAGTAGAACTGCAAATTAGTGAGGGATCACTGTACAGTAAGACTTGAATCACTAAACTGTTATTACCCCCCCCCTACACACACACACACACACAAAAAAAAAACAAAAAACAGTGCTTCATCTCATGGTATTTTTATCATTTAATTCTTTGTAGAGACTGAAAACATCCTGCAAACCTGCCCTAAGTCTATATGCCCTTTCAAAATTAATGTTATACTACCTACAGCTATCTTGGCACTTATCAGCCATAGTGAAAATTTAGGGGTTCAGGAAATGCTAAGAAATTTTTTCCCATACAAATTGATGTCAATTGCTGCTTAGCCTGATGGCATTTTAGCTTACGGGACATCTCCCTGAAATTCTTTACTTTCAGAGAGACTGGGGAAACCTGTATTTCAAAGACATTTCATTTATCTCCCTTTCAAAAATTCGTGCAATTAAAAAATATTTACTGGCTTTAAATGACCTGCAAAGGCTTGATAAGCCATAGAAAACAAATCAATATTATAATTAAGTTCTGATGTTTCCAAAAATATTTTAGACAACTGAATAACTTTTTTTTAATTTTGTTTATTTATACTGATTCCAGTATTTTTTAGTACATTCCTGTGATTTATGTTCTTAGTATATGATTATATTTTAGTTGATCCATTTTACATTTTTGGGGGTGTTTTATTTTTTTTATTTTTTTTTTTTAATTGTTTCACCCCAAGCATGGCGGGAAGCCACTAGCATGCAAGGGGTTACAGAGAGTTGGAAGTGAGAGAAAAGAGGAGTGATAGAGGAAAGGATGAAGAGAAGGATAGGGGATAGATCAGGGCATCTGGAGATGTCGATTGACAGTACATTTGAATAGTTGCAGATTATAGCTATCAGGGAAACAAGAAAAGGTGAGGGAGTTCCACAGGCGAGAGGTGCAAGACATGAAGCTATTGAAGTAGAAGAGACATCTACATTTAACAGTTTTGACAGTGAGAGCGAGATGCCAGCCTAGCTGAACGCTTAAATTCATGAAGTCTGGGAACCAGCGAAAGCAGCTCATCGGAGCAGTTACCATGAAAGTATTTGTAAAGAGAAGTTCTCTTAATGTCATCCAAAAGTTTGAAGCTACAGGAAACTCTGATAACAGTAACTATAGTAATCAAATCAGGTCCATACTAACAATGAAATGAAGGCCATAGAGTAGATCTGCTGAAATAGTGATTGACTTAGTGTAGCTTAGACTAGCATAAGGCTTTAATTCACGATTCAGTTGTAACAGATCTAGTGAGACCAGTTTGATAGTCATTACACTACACTGACGGGGCACTTCAATATGGTATAATGGTTAACAGGCTTGTCTCTATACAACTGAGTAGTGAGTTTCATCCACACTGAGTGCTTCACACTTTTGCCCTTGTGCCACATCTAAGCTATGCTTAGAAAATCATTTCAGGTGCCTTGATATGTTGTAATGGTTTGCAAGCTTGTCTCCCCAGAGCAATTATAACTTAGTAGTGAGTTTGATCTGCACAGCATGCCCCACACTTTCAGCCTTGTGCCACATCTAAGCTATGCTTAGAAAATACTTTTAGCACTTTGACTCTATCTTGCTAGATCACTTATGACTGAGTAGAGAGTTTGATCCTAACTGGATGCTTTTGGCATTGTGCCACATCTGAGCTACGCTTAGAAAATCACTATTACAGTATACTGAAGTACCCAAAAGATCAGTTGAGATTGTCTGGGCAACATTAAATCGCATAAAGAATAAGTTCCATTGTTTGAATAACTCTGGAATGATAATGACTCTTTGAAAAATCTTTAGAAAATATATTTACAAAAGAAAATGGCTCCTGAATTTATTTGATAGATTTTTATTTTTTTCAAAGAGGTAGATTTTATAACTGCTTGATATATGAGAATCTACTAAAAAAAATTTCTTTGCCCAATTTTTTGGCCTGTCCGAAAAATAAAGGAAAATATTGATATTTTGGTCATTGATCCGATTTTGGGAAGTGGACTACACTGAAAACTTTTTAGCACATATTCATATGATAATGTTTAGCTAAATAATTCAATAACAATGTGAATTATCGCTGCAATAGAATAAAAAGCAGCCGGTATTGAGGATAAAACAATGGATAAATTCTGGATTGGAAATGAGAACTTAAGCCATAAATTTTCATCAGAAGGATAGACATGCATGAGTAGGCACCCTTGTTGTTTTGTGTTTCTTTTAAACAATATAACTTTACATTAAGACCCATATGCCGCAACCCAGTAGACATAAATTTACACTGTTTAAAAAACAAAACAAAAAACAAGGATGCTCACTCAAAGATGTGTATCTATTAAATATAATGTTTAAAGTAATAAAAAATAATCAATTCAGAATATAATCTATAAGAATATGAAATGTTAGGGTATGTATATATATATATATTAAAGAATGTACTCATTCTACAGAAAATGCTGAGAATACTGTAGATGGAGCACCTGAGCAAAGAGGAATTTTTAAGGGAAAGGGAAACAGAAAGGACAGTTATACACCTAGGGAAAGAAGGCTTGGAGAATTTGATACTGTCAGGGTGTATTGAAAACATGAGGAAAACAGCAAGTAACCAATCTAATGAGCTTGTGTAAATGAATAGCAAAATAAGGAATGGAAGGATTAGCAAAAGAAGAAAATATTTCTATGATCTATAAGAGATAGGAAATTGTGGAGAGCCATGATCACCCTCGTCCTGCAGAGAGATGGCACATAAAAATAGAACTATTTTCTTTTTGCCTGCCTGCTGCTGACTCTTTAAGTTCTCCTTGCCTGCCTGCTGCTTGATCTGATTTACTACTACTTCTCTCTTCCTACTGTCATCATTGAAGCCTTTCTGTAATTTTTCTTTATTTGTTAAAAAGATGATAATACCATTTATTGGTATACACTTGTCAGCATTTTAGTAAATCACATAATTTGACCAAATTATCCAATCAAATAATTATATTGCTTTTTCGTTTTTTTTTCACCAGAAAACGGTGACTCTTGGCCAAGAAACAATCAACACACCAATCTACACACAACTTGATCCGAACCACTGCCACATCATGACAGAACAGCTTCAACGTTACACACTCATTGGGGAGTCAGTACCCGGGGGCAGAGCAATCAAGATACTGCGACTTGTGGCTTTTGCCCCTGCTATGCCACCTTCCATGGATTACAGCATTCGAGTCTACGTTGTGGAAGATACACAAGATGCACTCGAGGTGAGTAGTACAACATTTTCGTTTCTATCTTGATACATGTAAAATTTTTATCGAATGTGTGATTTTTATTCCTTAAGGCTAAAAAAAATAGTTTATATTTGCCTTAAAAAACTACTCTCTCTGTCCCATAACTATTGTTACATTTATCTACACATTTCATATACTAAATGTAACATCTATTATAGGACAAAGGTTCGGGTCTAAAAAAAAAAAATATTTTATACATAAATGTTACTTAAACATTTTTGGTTTTCTTACTGCCTCTGTCCCCAAATAGTTATTACCTTCGGCAACACATTTCATATACTAAATGTAACATCTTTTATGGGACAGAGGTAGGAAGGTCTTACCATTTTACTGTTGAACTCACTAGATGCAACAATCACTTCTACTTTAACTGTTTCTTTCGCACTTCCCACCTGTGGAACTCACTTCCAATTTCTTGCTTCCCTGATAACTACAGGGTGATTGAAAAATAACTCCCCAATTTAAAATACTCATAAATTTATTTATTAACTATAATTTTTACAAGAAATGGATATGAGAGGAAAGTGTTTAGAAAGAGGTTTTATTTAAAATTCGATATGGGCACCAGATTTCTTGAGTCACCCAGGAATCGTGTCAACTGATTTTACCAGGAACTCTTGTGATATGGAAGACATAAGTTTTTGTATTCGCCCTTCACGTCCCCCCAAAGTCTTGGCTTGGTATAGTAGATTTGCTCTTTTGACCAACCCCTAAAGAAAAAAGACACAGGGTATTAAGTCAGAACTCTTGGCTTGCCACTCATACATAAAATAGCAAGTTACTTTTCAATCACTATGTTCTGTCTTGAACACAGTTTCTTTTTTGTTATTTCTTCAATCCTTGCCATTCTCAGGCTTTTCTTTCACTTTCCCTTCCTTGTAACCCCTTCATTATCACCTTGGAGTGAAATGATAAAAAAAAAAAAAAAAAAAAGCCTGTTTCCGTAGCATCAGTCAGTCTCAAGAGTTCATAGAACTGCACTTTAGGAGTTCTTGATTCAAATAGGATTGTTAGTGCCACATCTGTCTTTTACCAATTGAACACGGTCTTATAACCAGTAGACTCTGAATTCAAAACAGGTTGGGCATGAGGTTACAAATCCTATATGTAACAGAAACCACAACAGCTGTGCCTAATGTGTTGAGAGCTGTGACCCCCACCCTCTTCTCTTCAGGGGACTGATTAATTGATTTGTTTTTTTTTACTGCTTATCAACTTTTTGTTGGTCATGTTTTGGATTGTAAGAAGTTTGCTTATGGTACCTGGTTTTCACCTCATTCAATTACTGACTGATTTCAAGCTCTTCACGGGGAGCCTATGGGACTTTGGCTAAAAGTGCAAGAAAAATGTTCTACTGGACTCTAAATGAAATTGTATTAGAATTTCAATGTTTTTATTTGAATGCCATCTTAATTCTTTGTCTGTGCCTTTTGCCAGGGTGTAATCCAAGTGGAAAGGAAACTTGGTGGTTGTCTGCTTGATAAACCCAAACAGATTCCATTCCAAGACGGTGGGAATAATTTGTGTCTTACCATTGAAGAACTCTCACAAGGGTGGAGGAGCAAACTAGCAGCCAACTATCAGGTAAGGAAGAAAACATTCTTTATTCAGGAAACCTGTAGTCATCAAACGTTATATTCAGATTAGGTATCACTATTGTCTTCTTCTTTTATGTGCCATCTCCCTTCAGGAAGTGGGCAATCATGGCTCTCCACAATTTCCTATCATAGAAATATTTATTTTTTTTTACTATCCCTTCCATTCCCTATTCTACCATTCCTTTACACAAGTTCATTAGATACGTTACTAGATGTTTTGTTTATATCTTGAGTATGTTATAAGAGTGTCAAATTCTCCAAGCTTTCTTTCCTTATTATGTGTTTCCTTTCTGTTTCCATTTCCCTTAAAACTTTCTGATTGCTCACATGCACTGTCTATGGTATTTTTAGTATTCTTCTGTAGAATGACTATATAAACCCAAACATTTCATATAAATTATTTTATATCTATAGATTATTATACATACTTGTTTCATCCTTGAATTTATTTCAAAATACGTAATGGCAACAAATCAGCATGTATCTATTTATTTATTTATTTATCATCAAGTCATGTGACACATATAGCCGCTTCACCTTTCAAGTACTGTATTTTGACAGTATATAAGGCACACTTCTTTTTTAGTAAAAATATCTTTTAAAATTCCCCTGCATCTTGTATGCCATATATAGGTTTAAAATTTGTAATAATTGGCCGAAATTAGCTACCTGGCAACTCCTATTAGTGTAGACTTAAACATGAAGGAGTACTGGAACACATGGATGGCAATGCTTGATCACAACCTTACATTACAAGATGAATAAAAACATCAGCATTGCACAAGTCTGTGAATGGGTCAAGCAAGCTTGGAATAATATTAGACCAGAAATTGTTGTGAAATCTTTTAAAAAGTGTAGCATTAGCAATGCTCTCAATGGAACAGAAGATGATGCATTATTTAATGACGATGATAGTAGTATTGAAAATGAATATCAGAGTTTTGATACTAAAGACGATGAATTTTATGGACTTGAAAATGAATAAAATTTTAATTGTAATTGTATATGCCGTGAAATATGGTAATTGTTTATAAAAAAAGTTCTAATGTAGTGGAATGAATTGTATATGTTGCATTATACATATTCAAATTTATTTAACAATGTTATTATAATGTTTTATTATTTTTCCCCACACCTTATAGTTGGAATATAATATGCAAGTGTTTGTTTATACATGGAGGTTGATATAAAAATGCCTATCAAAAACAAATGCTGAATTTTCTGAATTAAAAATGTGTTAGAAACAGAAAAATGACTGTAGCTCAGGAACCCCTTGTCTAATTCTAATGAAATTTGTTATTGCACTTGATAGGGGTTCAAGGTACAATATGCTTCTAAATTGATTGAGATATTACATATTGTTTAAACTGTATCTCTGGAACACACATACATATATTCAAGATTAGAGTTTTATTAGTATATAGATTGAAAATATATAAAATAAATGCCTTTTTTTTTTTGTTATTAGTTTACTGACTTATTGATTTTCTTTTTCTTTCTATTACTTATATAATAGCAAAGATATTTTTTTATAGATTCTGGTAGTCTTTTGGAGAAATTTAGTTACATAGAAAGAGATATTTGCTTTCATTTTTTCCCCACCCAGTAATGTTCAATAAAATGTCAGAATATCTCTTAAGGTTTCCTTAACCATTGAGGAAAATGCTATTAGTAAAAACAGGACAAACAGAAAAAGGGATATAGCAGTATTGACTATTTTTTTTTGTTCTCTGTGAACACTGATTGGCTGATAGTGTCTATTTTTGTGGAAAGCTTATCCAGATGTTGTACTCTACTCTTTTTTTCCCTCTGCTGTACTGAGAAATGTTAAGTGTCTATGATGAAGAAAAAGACAGAAAGAAATTGAGGAAAACTTGGCAGAGTGCTGAGATAGAAAGCCTGCAGTGTTTACGCTTTCAAATTTGTTACCTGGCTTTGGTAGGCTTCCTTTAAATTCTTGTTAGCCAACCCCTACCTTTTGCTGGACTTTAGCATGCATATAAAACAAAAAAAAATAACTTGATCCAATGAAGCCCTTTTGACTTTTGGTGGATTGTGTGGCAAGCGTTTCGAGTTACCCAGAATAGGCAGTCTTGTAGGTTCCATTGTTGTTTCTTTCTGCAATAATAACCTTATGACCTTTCCTCTTACTGATTAAAAAAAAAAAAAAAAAAAAAAAACCCTCAACACTAGGCGAGAATCCTTAAATTCAAACTTTTCTTTATCTTTCTATTACCGATTACGGAACCCTAGAACAAAGTATGCACCTTACATGCTCTCATTTCTCTGTAAACAATTACGAGCTAGATGCTTAGGGAAGGAAGAATTTATAGGATAATAGAAGTGGGAAACTAGCTGGCCAGTTTTTCATTTTGTACAATCAGTAAATTCATGTACTTATAAAATCCATTTTATTTATTTAATTTATATAAGAGCTAAGGATTAGATATAGATTTTGGAAATACCCAATTCAGTCAGTTATTTACTGGTTTCAAAAGATGGTAAACCTGGAATTACCTAATATAAAGCTCAGGAGCCACCCAAGGTAGAGTGTTACCGAATGAGATTGTTCTAAGGAAAGAGGAAGAGGTGCATAATTATAAGGATATATAGGATAAATGTTTGTTGATCTAGATTTGAAGAGGTTAAGATTGTAATGGTTTGGGAAGCATTCTTCTAGGAGCCTGTTCCACAAAGTAACAGTTCTGGGGAAGAAGCTGAGTGGAACTTACTCCTTATTGAAGGAACCTAATGAGAATGGAGATGATTTGTCACCGAGAACATGGCAAGGCGTGTCCTAACTGTAAAGGTTTTGAGCTGGTGGTACTAAGGAATGAATTTTGTTGGAACATTTGTATGTCTTTTTTTATAGTTCACGCAATCAAGAGGCACTCAAGGTAGATGGTTACTGAATGAGGTGTGTGATATGAATGTAAGAGAAGTGAGTAGGAAGTGAAGATTATGAAGATCTAGAGGATAGATAACGATTGACTCTAGGCTTGAAGTGGTTAAGGTTGTAGTGTTCTGGGAAGCATCCAGGTGGGAATCTGTTCCACAAAGCAGCACTTCTTCGGAAAACAGGTTTGGAGTAAAATGCTCTTTTTACCAAAGAAATATGTAGAGAATTGGGGAAGATTCAACCTTCTGTATTTAGCAATGCGGATCTTGACTGTAAAGACACTAAAGAATGAAGCTTGTTGGAACATTTGTTATTAAAGATCACCCAATCAAGAGCCACTCAAAGTAGATGGTTGCTGAGTGAGATTGCTGTAAAAGAGAATGGGGATGGAAGATGAGGATGTCTATGATATATATCAGTTGACCCTGGACTTAAAGAGACCAAGATTGTAGTTGTCATGGAAGCATCCTCTTGGGAATTTGTTTTCTGGGGAAAGAGCTGTCTGAGTGGAATTTACTCCTTATCAAAAGAACATAAAGGGAATGGAGATGATTTGTTACCAAAAACATGGAATGGCTGGTTCTAACTTTAAAGGTTTTAACTGGTAGAACTAAGGGACGTAACTCATTTGACTATCTGCCATAGTAATAGTGATAGAATAGTGAGAAGCTAGCAGTGTTTTGTCTGTGGGATAACGGTTGCAGGGTGGAGAATCATTCATCACCCACAAGGCTGTGTAATCACTTTTGAACTCTGTCAAAGCTGGACAGTGAGGACTTAAGCAGAATAGATTGGAAATGAGGAATACTTAAGTTTATATAAAAACAACCATAAGCAAGATAAATAGGTTATTTGATAAAATTTTATAGATTGACTCTGATTATTTTTTAATCAAGTTTTCTATTTATGTCTTGTGTATCAAACATCGACTGATACACATGAGAAATAGTCTGAAGCCACATTCTATTTGAGTGAGTGCAAGTTAAAATCTTTTCTAACATTTGCCAAATATTGTTTGCTTATTTGTTTGGAAATTAAGTCGCCAATGTTTTTTGCTTTTTTTAAGAAAATATTTCTTTAAAAATTATATCTGTGTTAGTTTGAAATTTATCTTTCCTTGGCAAGCAAGTAAAGATCTGAGCTGGTGGAACTAAGGGACGTAACTCGTCTGAACATCTCTCATAGTAATAGTGATAAAGTATTGAGAAGCTAACAATGCTTTGTCTGTGTGACTTATTTTATATAATTCAAATGTGATCTTAGATTATTTTACTAGTGTAAGATAAACAAATCAACTGAATTTATAAAATAGAGCTATTTAAGCTGCTACTTCGACCAACTATAAAGATGAAGGGAAAATGAGATTGGTTGGTCAGAGCAACAGAGTTTTAGATTATGATAGCAACAGGCTGATAGTGTGAAATGATGCTTATTATAAAATTTCATTAATACAATATCACAATTAGTATAAGTTTTGAATTAACTGACATTTTATTTTTACAAATGAAATCTTCAAAGTTCTAAATGTTATATGATATGATATAATCAGAAATGAAATAGTCATTTTACATACCGTTTTATTATTAAATGTTTCATCAATGTCATGTCTTGTTAATCAGTAACTGAAGTTATTTTTGGTTAATAATATAGATTTTCTTATTAAATTAAAAATTGCTATTTATTAATTTTTGACTAGTATTTCTTTCATCCTATTTCTCTTGCAACTCCCATCCATCAGAAGTAGAAAATATAGCTATATGGCTATATTTGAATTACTTCTAGTTAACCTGGCATTTCTTTCATCTTCATTTCTCTTGCTTTTTATTGCAACTCCCATCCATAAGAAGTAGAATATAGCTATATGGCTAAATTTGAATGATTCCTGCTGGTTAGCCTTCTAAGATGAAGCATTGTCAATTATTATTCATTTTTCACTAGTATTTCTTTCATCTTCATTTCTCTTGCTTTTTATTGCAACTGCCATCCATAAGAAGTAGAAGTAGAGAATATAGCTATATGGCTAAATTTGAATGACTCCTTCTGGTTAGCCTTCTTAGATGAAGCATTGTCAATTATTATTCATTTTTCACTAGTATTTCTTTCATCTTCATTTCTCTTGCTTTTTATTGCAACTCCTATCCATAAGAAGTAGAAGTAGAGAATAGCTATATGGCTAAATTTGAATGACTCCTGCTGGTTAAGATGAAGCATTGTCAATTATTATTCATTTTCACTAGTATTTCTCCTTCATTTCTTTGTTTTTATTGCCTTCCATTAAGAGAGAATATAGCTATATGGCTAAATTTGAATGACTCCTGCTGGTTAGCCTTCTTAGATGAAGCATTGTCAATTTTATTCATTTTCACTAGTTTTCTTTCATCTTCATTTCTCTTGCTTTTTATTGCAACTCCCATCCATAAGAAGTACAAGTAGAGAATATAGCTATATGGCTAAATTTGAATGACTCCTGCTGGTTAGCCTTCTTAGATGAAGCATTGTCAATTATTATTCATTTTTCACTAGTATTTCTTTCATCTTCATTTCTCTTGCTTTTTATTGCAACTCCCATCCATAAGAAGTAGAAGTAGAGAATATAGTATATGGCTAAATTTGAATGACTCCTTTGGTTAGCCTTCTTTTGAAGCATTGTCAATTATTATTCATTTTTCACTAGTATTTCTTTCATCTTCATTTCTCTTGCTTTTTATTGCCACTCCCATCCATAAGAATGTAGAGTATATATGGTTAAATTTAACTTTTTAACTAGTATTTCTTTCAACTTAATTTTAGTTCCTTTTTATCACAACCTCTCATACTATCCTTCTGTGGCCATTAACAACAAGCATGGAACAGATAATTCTCTAGTAAGATTTGAACTCACATCCCTTTTTCCCTGGAAAACCTTTGTGAGATACCAGTTCAAAGGCCTATAAATTTTCAGAAGATCAAGTCAAACTATATACAGTTTATATTTCATAATCTGAACAAATAAAAGAAAGAATTTTATTGATGACCTTCTTCATAAAAAGAAGATAATCATAAGATTGGATAAAGAAAAAAAAGTGATGTGATGAAACGATGTATTTATTGAACAGCATTTCCAAATTTAGTCAAGGTTTTTTCTAAAATATTCTAATATTATTCATTCGATTCATATGATTTGCAAACAGTAATGGGCTTGATAAGTGTTGCTTAAATGATGCCACAGCAATCTCATATAGCTTTCCATTTTTTCTTTCTTTCATGGCTTTCTTTCTTTTTCTCCTCTCTTCTTAATATCTCCCCATTCTTTCTTTCTTTGGTGATGTCTCCCCACTTTTTCTTTCTTTGGTAATGTCTCCCCATTCTTTCTTTCTTTAATATCACTCTACACTTTTTTCTTTTAGCATCTTCCTTTTCTTTCTTTCTGAACTTTCTTTATTTTTTTTAAACTTCCCACTCTTTCCTTCTTTGATAATACCTCCCCACTCTTTCCATATTCCCTTTCTTTCTATTTTTCCTTTTCTTTGATAATACCTCCCCACACTTTTTCTTTTTTTCCATCTTCACTTTCATTGACAATATCTCACCAGTTTTCTTTTAACATCTTCCCTCTCTTTCTTTAGTTATATATCTTTTTATTCTTTCTTTCTTTGATTACATTTCCTCACTCTTTCTTTCTTTGATAATATCTCTCCACTCTCTTTCTTTACTTCTAACCTGTTTAGTTTCTATACAAAAATTTATATTTAATATGCATATAATGGTCAAATTCTGTTAGTTATTGTGAAAAATATGTATATAAATATTCGTTATCAACATCCCTGGAATTTCCTCCAATTCTCTTAATAAAGAGAATAATGTTTTATTCCTTTTTTATGGTTTAACTCCCTATATTTTTTTTCTTCACTTGAGAGCAAAAACGTCACTGCGATGATCTACAGCCACTTTAATCCTTATGCACCGAGAACTTAACTGAGAAAACAGAATTTGATTAATGTAAAAAGTGGGGAGGGTAAGGCTTGCTTATCTATTTAGATATATTCTAATGCTCTTATATTCTGTCTTTTAGGTTTATATAAATTGTTTTCTTGCATTAGACATGTTTGCTTTCATGCAACATTATATAAATGATGGCTCATGTCTAATAATAATAATATATATATATATAAAAGAAGTAGAAAAAGAGAATGTAGCTATATGTTATCTATAGATTTGGGGGTAGCATTAACTTGAAGCACTCAGTAGCAAGTGTCTCTGTGTATAAGCTACAGAATTTTGGTTGACTTTTCATTTAATTCTATATGCCGATAGCAGCAAAAGATTTTCAAACTTGACCTAAAATCACTGATCTCCCAAAAGGAAAAAAGAAATGATTGAAACAATGAATTTTATATATAAGTGTTTTTCTAAGATTTTTGTCTGTAACTTTTTGTTTTACTTCAGTTATCTCCCTTGCAACAGAAAAGTCGTTTTTAAAACAATGACATTTCCATGATCATTATGAAACTGAGGAATGAAAGATAAAAGATGTTTAAGACCCTTATATGAAAAAAAAAAAACTTATAATAATAAAGGCTTAACAAAATATGGAATTATTTTTTTTTTTTTTTATAGCATAGCTAAAGTAATATTAATATAACATCTACTGGCTATAAAGTGGGGATTGGCTTTTTATTGTTATTAATAAATTATCCACTTAAATATATTAATTTTATTTCTAGGTGCTCATCTTTAATAATAATAGTAAGGACAGAACAAAATAGGATGTAGTTTTTAATGATTTGGTAAACTAGTATTTATATAAAATTCTACTGAACATAAATTGATTCATTTGTTTATTTTATGGCTTATTAAGCTTTTGCAGGATATTTAAAGCCCAAAATTAGTTCTAGATTGTAAGAATTTTGGGGAGATAATAATGATTTTTAATGATGCAAGTCCTACTAATTAACCCATAGAAGGGGGAGAAGTAGTTGATTCATACTTTCACAAGGGTATTTGCACAAGTGAATATAACAAGCCCAATGGGAACTGAAATTCCAATCTGTTACCCACTACACTAACTCCATATCTAAGCTTACAGTACTTTGTATTCCCAAGCAGTCACTAATCTGGGTACTGACCAGTCTTGATGTTGCTTAACTTCGGTGATTGTATGGGAGCCAGTATTTCATGTAATATGGCCATAAGCCCTACTGAACATAAAGTGGGGGCTTAATGTTATATTGTTATTAAGTAATAAACTGATTCCTTTATATTAATAAGTGGAAAATGTATTTACAAACTTATATTTAACTTACTTAGAATTAAATATGCCGTTTAATACATTTATAGAGCATCTACTCAAATACTAGTATCCACTAAGGGTAATGTTTAAAATAATAAATATGAGTGTGTGTATTTAGGCAGCAATCCTTCATTTATGCATGTTTCATTAACAATGACAGTCACGATACTACTATGATTAAGCTTATTTAATTTTTCTTGGGTTCATACAAGGGTTTTCTTTTTTGAACATAGTGTGTGTAGAAACTGTCCAAATGTCCTGTAATTCTGAGCACTTTTGGCTTTACTTTTAGCCATTATCAAAGATGATTTTATTTTTTCCAATTTAATTGGGTGTGTGCATTGTGTGTATATTTTTAGTGTTATAGACATGTTTTAATTTCCAAACACAGTACGTTATGGTAAAAATTCTAATTTATAATACTTATTGGTATTTATGCAGTGGTATTAATTTTGCTGGGAGGGGGAGTATAATTGTAGACTAATGTAGCAATGGTAATTGTGGTGGTGAAATAGTGGGAATGGAATAATGGTTGCAAAGTTGAGATAAATGGGAAGTGTGTGTGTGTTTTATCTAAAAACAGAATTCTTCAATTCTTGGCAAAAAAAAAATTTTAATAATTAAAATTATAATCTTATTAAAGATCTTGATGATCTTTAATCAGATTATAATTTTAATTATTAAATTTTATTTTTTTCCAAGATTGGAAGAACTCAATGTCTTCAGAATCATATTTTCTTCTGAAGTTCCCAATTTTGATATGATTGATCAAAGTTTAGAACATTTAGACATTCTTCCATCAATTCAGATGGTAAGCTTGGCTTTCAACAGATATAAATTGATTTATGTCTCTATGTTATTTTTAAATTGTTTACAAATCCTCAAAATGCTGATGCTACACAGCAACATTTCAAGCTTATTTGACTTGTTTACCTTTCTGCTATTCGTATCTACCTTTTTATTTATTCAGAGTAGACACACCTTCTTGTTCATCTGCTGAGCAGATTGCGCAAAAGAATTGTGCATGCCTTACAGGTATTCAAATCACCAAGCAAAAACAAAATACCTGGGAAAAAAAAAACAAAAAAACAACCTTTTGAAAAGAGCTTCTTTTTTTTTCTTCTTTTATGTGACATTTCTCTTCAAAATATGGATTATCTTAACTCTCCACAGCTTCCTGTTCTTCCTTCTTCCATTTCTGTAATCCATTTACACAAGATTGTTAAGTAGATTACTTGCTGTTTACCTGTGTCTCACTTGCCTTCAATATGTCTTGTGAGTGTTAAATTTTCCAGGAATTCTTTTCTTTCATTATGTGTCCCCAAAATTTCAACTACCTTTATGCATAGATGGAGGCAAGATATGTGCACAAAGAAGAGGATCAAGTGTAATTTACTGTGTGTGTGTGTATATATATATATATATATAATAATGGACTCTCCCGTCGGTTTCGACGTATGAGGATCTGACAACTTAATTGATTCAGTTATGAAATTTTGTGCAATAATCTTAAGTGGCACTCAAGACCCGCTAGTGATTTACAAAGGAGGCCACATTTAGAGCAAGAGTGAGGATTGTGAGATGAGACCACTGTTAGATTGGCTGACCTTTTAGTTCTTGCTCTCGCTTCTTGAAGATGATTTAGACAAGCAGATTGAAAACTGCTGAGTCCACTAAAACACGTTGATCTCCATTCTACCCACCCCAAGGCTAAGCGCTCAAGGGTGTTATGTGGTATATTAACTGCTGACAAGTTGCTTTTCAGCTTGTCTTTGTATCTTAGCCATGGGCATCCTACATTCTTGTAGCCCTGATCTAACTGGCTGTACATTAAGATCTTGGGTATCCTGTCATCAGACATTCTCAAGACATTACCAGTCCACCCTAATATATATATTCTTTTAGGCATGTCTGATTGAATAAGTTATATAAGTTACTGCTAATTTTTAATGAAATCTGTTCATACTCACAAATAACTTTCCATGTACTGATGTTAAAGGAGAAGAAATGTGCTATAGCTGTTTAAATTTCTCTTATTTTAATTTCCAAAGTACTTTTGATCTTCTTCCAAGATCATCTTCAGGGGTGCAAGTAGTACAAACTCTATGTTTAATACTATAAGTATTTATACAAAATTGTGCATTACTGTAATTTTTTCTTTATGCTTTTAAATGCAAAATGGTTGACAATGTGCTGAGTATTCATTAGAACATGAAAAAAATTATCCATTATGGATTTTTTTTCATGTTTTAATGTCATAATTACAGGCATTTCAGAAAATTACTGCAGTATTCATAGTTGATTCTGTTTTGTGCTAGCTTTAATATTTGAATATAAATTGCTTCTAGTATCTGTAGTCTAAATTTGTTGTTTTCTTGGTGTAGGATAATTGTGTTGTCAATATATATTTGTATATAAGCCAACTTTGTGTATAGTGCAATCCATGAATTTTTTTGCATGAATTCTAATCCGTCCAGATATTGCAATTTCTGAAACTGAGATATCCCGAAAATGCAGTGCATGTGTAACTAGAAGAATCTACCCCAGTGGACAAAATAAAGGGTTCAGTTCGAAATTCCAACATATATGATTTGAAGAAATGTGAATATGACAATAAAGATGAGAAAAAACAGTTCAAGCAATGTAAATAGTTAAAATACCTAGATTCAGTAATCTCTTGCATCTTAGTGGCTTTATTGTCTTGCTTGGTGTGAAATGAAAAAAAAATCCCTCTCCAGTGAGATCATCCATGGTTTCTGAAATCTATTATGTTCTTTTTTTTTTTTTTTTAAGAGACATAACAGTATCTACACTTCATGTCTAACCTTCTTTATACAGTTTCAGGTGGCTGTGTTTTGAATTGTCCTTCACTTAGACTGATTGCCAACCATAGCTAGATAGAAAGCTCAGTCTACCCTAATATTAAACTTATAACATGGGGGTGGGTAGGAGAAGAAATGAATTCAACCCCTTCCACAAGGATATTTGTGAAAAAAAAAGAAGTAACAAACTCAATTGGAATTCAAACTCTACTTGCCAATTTCTCCTGACTTACTAAACATTACAACATCTGCCCCCCTCCTCTGATTTAAGATTATTTTAATATAACCTTTCTGCTGTTCCTGCTTATGCTAATATTAAACCACTGTGGATAGTTGGTTCTTTATATTTTATAAATTATGTGCATTGCTCTCATTTGACCATGTGTACAACCATGATCTTCTGTTGTCAAGGCATGCTG